ACCTGGCCTCTATTTGAGACTGGCTTTTATTTACCCAAACCTGCAGCCACACCAGGCGTGTAAAAGAGACAGACTATTTGGGACTCGCTATTATTTGAAGTTTTACTTTAAATCTCCTAAATCTCTGACCCATCGTCTTTTTCCTTATCTAATTTTCTGCCGTTCTACATACGTCATCTGGTATCATTGACCCGATTGGCTATGAGCTACGTACAGACGCATTTGATAGACATTCGTAGCACCCAATAATACGGCTCCGGGCATTCATAAACCACCCCTCAAACACGAGAAAATGAACATGTGGTTTCTAGACAATGTTTCATTCTCAATGAGACGTGGTCTGATATCAGTAATCACCTTCAGCTTTCCGCCAAAGTCAACTCCATGGTCAGATTTAGATAAGAGACCAAACCAGGAAACAATGGATGGAGACGCAGCCGGCCCATCCCGGGAATGTGCGGACCCGTGGCCCTATATTCTGAATAGTGACTAAAAAGTGACCCCAAACTCATCTCCAGTGGAACCTCAAACTCTCCCTCCAACGTCAACATCTGCAAAGTTCCATAGTCTTCGGGTCTTTTAACAAATGATGGTGTGGAAAGGGGGAAGTGAACGTATGGACCCAAAAGACGGGGGGTGGCATGTTTTGGATGGGGGAGTTTTGCCAATAATGACTGATCAGCCTGCGGCACCACCAGAAATACTAGATGTAGTCCACTGTAGTTGGAAGAAAGACTGTGGCACAAAGAGAAGAACATGCAAAAAACATGGACTCCCTTGCACTGCCATTTGCAGAGAATGTCGTGGTACTAACTGTGCACAAACTCACAGTTGCCTTATCTATCAGATGAATATGACCCAGAGGGGAAGAACTAAGCAAAGAACAAACCGGGAACTGATTTGGGGATGCCAGAACCAAGAGCCACAGAGAAGGGGTCGAGGACTAAATAAAATAAGAGAAAACATAAAGTAAAAAACACCCAACTCTCCCCTGAGGCTTGTGTCCCTCTGTGACCCTGAAGACTATACCGGCGGGGGTTATACCCCAGGCAGGTACTACCAAGCCAGGCAGTTTTCAGGTTAGAGGCCAGTCTAAAAGCAGCATTGCCATCACCCATTGGCAGTAGGATGATTGGATGAAGATTGGGCCGATTTGTCATACATATGAAGGGTGTTTCTGCCTATGCAAATTATGACATATTCAATAAGTGTAGAGCTCATGTGCATATTCAAATTAATTTCAAAAGAAACTTGTAATACAAAAAAAGTTACTTTTCCTGTATACTTTTTCTTTGTAAAGTTTTATTGTGGTAGGAATAAAGGAAAAAATCAAGCCTATTTGGGTGCATTTTGGGCATATTCGATTAGTGTATAGCTCATTTGCATAATAAAATTCATTTTCAAAGAAACTTATAATACAAAATGTTTTACTTTTGTTGTAGACTTTCATTGTGTAAAGTTTTATTGTGGTAGGAGTAAAGGACAAAATTAAGCCTATTTGGGTGTATTTTGGGTATATTCGATTAGTGTATAGCTCATTTGCATAATAAAAATCATTTTCAAAGAAACTTGTTATACAAAATGTGTTACTTTTCATGGATACTTTCATTGTATAAAGTTTTATTTTTATAGGAGTAAAGGAAAAAAAAAATAGCCCCATTGGGGTGTATTGTTGTCTGGCCTTACTGGCACACATCTCGGATTGATGCAAATTAAACATATTTCCTCAACTAGGATTTCTTAGGACTTTAAGTATGTTGTTCTGGACACCTCATAGAAATGATCTATGCTGAAAAAAAAATATTTTACAATTATTTGCCTGGACTATTATGCTTATTTCTATAAAAGAAATTTCTGTTTTATTATTAATTTTCAAGATAGTGTGTGTGTGTGTGAGAGAGAGAGAGAGAGAGAGAGAGAGAGAGAGAGAGAGAGAGAGAGAGAGAGAGAGAGAGAGAGAGAGAGAGAGAGAGAGAGATAGAAAGAGAATGACAGTGTGTGTGTGTGTGTGTGGTTCAAAGTGAGTTGGAGAGAAATGTAACCGGTGGCTTGCGACACCAGTTATATTAATACTTGTCTGCGTTGTGTAGATAAAGGCACTGGACCACAGGCGGCGGTTTAACTGTTTACTCTCTGATACACAAAACACATAGGATAATCTTGAGTGAGACGCTCCTATACGTCACTATAAAACAAATGTGACGTACATTTAGTCACCATGTGCTTTCATCTCCACATATATGGATCAAAGTCAAAAATATAACTCAATCAGGACAAAATCACTGAAATAACCATACAGATATGTAGAGTAACGCAATATGCATACATTGAAGTAAAATATAAACATAAAACCAATTATTAAAGTAAAGATTAACTAAGATTAAGAAGAGCCAAAAATAACTCACCTCCTCAGTGCATTAACAATGCTCAAGAGGAAGAGGTGGATTCAAAACAGGACATTTACAGACACATGATGACGTCACAACAATTAAAGGGAAAACACCCTCATTCTAAGACAAGTATATATATCAGATATATGTGAAAGTAAACATTATTTTGTGTAAATTATAACAATACTTATTTTGTGTAAATTATAAAAATACATACATTTTAACAGAACACATTATGTCCCTGTTACAGAGAGATGGGTGAGTGTATGTGTGTGTGAGAGAAGGAGAAAGAGAGAGTAAAGAGTAGAGAGAGACCGTGACAGATATGTGTGTGTATGAGAGAGGCAGATGGAGTGAATGTGTGAGTGAGTTGAAGGGTATATTGCTGTGCAAACAAGGAAGCAAAACCGCGAGTTAGTTAATGTTACTCCAGCCGGTTAACCACAGCAGTGTACCATGTCTGCGAAAAGCCTCTAGCTGCTGTCTGATTTTAATTTGTGGCTGGTCTGGTCTATGAGAGGCCATATGAGACGAAACCCATTGAAACACTTACACGTTCACAATAGACGTGCACAGACATGTGAAACACTTACGATACACATTGAAACACTTGCGATACACATTGAAAGACTTGTGATACACATTGAAACACTTGTGATACACATTTAAACTTGAATCCAATGCAAAACAAATTTATTAACTTATTTATTTAGCCTGTATCACCGCTTATAGGGAATGGCTTTGAGTATCATTTGCTGGAAATATGAACTGAATTTAGAAATGCTTTTAAAATGAAAAACTTTGCATTTATTAAACAAAATAATATTTTTTAATGAATATGGTGTTTGGAGTGGTAAAATGTTTCCCTGTTCCCTGAATCAAGGGCTTAATTTTAGGAAAACACATAACGTGTAATTCATGCGGTGCGTTCATATTCTGGGCTCATCTGCTTTTACAGAATTTGATCTTTTAATATCACTGCCTCATTAAGTCACGTTAATGGTTTTTCACATTAAAGGTGCCATGTGTACAAATTGAGGTTAAAATATCAACAAAAAAAAAAGAGCTACACACATCAAAGGAATGAGAACAAATAAGGTTGATGAAGTCATTTAAAAAAATGACAAGTTACTGCCGAGATATTAACCTGAATTAGCGTGCTAAATGACTAGCCCCGGCCCAGCAGGTGTCATAATACCAGTTTCGGCCATGGGAGGCAGTATGCGGGCGGGCAACATAACCACCAGCCAAACTGCAATACACGAGTAACTCGCACGGCTTGTGTGTGTATTTGAACCTGATGTCAATCTGATATGATTTTTTTACATATCAGCCCACTACTACATTTCAGTTCAGGGAAGAGTTCAAAAAATGATTGGATATTATGCATGAGGAATACATTTTGGTAAGTTGTAGCATATTGTATCTTTCAACAGGGTTAGTGTGCTTTTACCATTAGCTAGAAGAGATGATCGGTTCACGTGCGATAGGGATCTGTTGTGTAACATTTACAAGCGCCAAAACGCTATTTATTGTTTGAATTGCGTAATAAAATTGAGAGCTGAGATTTTTTTACATATCAGAACTAACCTGCTCCGTCTAGTGTGTCGGTCTCCGTGTCCTTTTCTGTGCGTGACAATATTGATGTGTGGCGTGAGAGCGTGTGAAAAGTATCAATTGCGTGTCTCACGGTGAATTCGTGAGAGTTGGCAGCTCTGAATGGCGCTAGCTTGGTCAACATCAGCGGATGCTGTCTGTCAAATTAATTCACAATAAAAATATAACATGCACAAAACGAATACTGTAAAACTTCAAAAAATAGCCCAGGCTTTTATTTCCCCAAATCGTTGAAATGCACTGGTTTGTATTTGAGACAGGCGTCTATGAGACCACCTTTATAATTTAGTGTTGAGATGTTGTTCATTGAGTCTCTAATCTCTAAAAATGTCCAAATGCTCCACGTGAAACTGCGGTCTTCCAGCCTTTTACTATCGTGTCAATTGATTTGATTAATATGCGCGAGGGAGACAGAGCAAGACAGCGCTCGCCCGTGTTGTTTGAAGACGTGAGAGTGCGGGCGCACGGCCGCGGCTTAATTCAATTTCTGGAGGTATACTGCCCCCATCTGGTATGGAATATGGAGTATGATTTGATTTTTTTTTTTCAGATGGCACCTTTAAGCGTTAGAATGTCCTGCTACTGTTTGCTTCAGCTTTCCCAACGTAGAAGCATGATAAAGGCACGATAAGCTATACATATTTTATATAAATAAAAGCTGGATATGGCATATTCTGTACATGACTAAACATGTCCTTATTTATTAGGCCTAGAAAATCTATATTTGTAATGACATAACATCTCGTTATTGCAAGAAAATATAACATCTTGTTATTACAACATAATTGAGTGGGGAAAAAATAATATGTATGTGGTAGCAATCTGCCAATGTAGTTTCGTATAAAAAAATATATTTGTTTGTACGCGCAAGTGTTTCACATATCTGAGTCTAATGTGTTTTGCAAGTGTTTCAATGTGTATCTCAAGTTTTCAATTTGTATGGCAAGTGTTTCAATGTGTATCGCAAGTTTTCAATGTTTATCACAAGTTTTCAATGTGTTTCGTCTCATACGGCCTCCCATACCGGTCCCATTTCTTTTATTGCACGAAGAAGAGATTGCACGGTCTGCTGGACGGTGGGAAGAGATTGCTGGCGCTTGGGCGCTGCCATTGTCAACTTGTCAAGAAAGACTGGCTCCGCGAGCCGAATCTCCCTGACACGTGACCACACCAAGTAAAGTAACTCATGTTATTCTCCGTGACCACACCAAATAACTCATGTTATTCTCTGATGAGCGCTTTGCCTCTGCGCCCATCGGAGAATAACATGAGTTATGTAAAGGAAATTTTCTTTTTAATGTATCTTTTTAAACACATATATCTGCTTGTGTGTTTTATAAAACATGTGTCCTTTCAGGGGGGTATTCCAGAAAGCAGGTTATGTGACTTACCCGGGTAAGTTTAGGAGTAAGTAAGCGGATAACCTCTGCTTTCGGTTCCAAAAACGGAGGTAACTTTCGGGTTATGTATAAGTAACCAGCAACTGACTCTCTGAGGATATGTTGCAGGGTTAGTTTGTTTCAGAGAGGTGACGGACCACAAAAGACATTTGTATGTATTGCTTTAGATTTCATTCAACAACAAATGACAGATTAATGTTCACATACTGTTTCCCACCTTAAGCTGGCGCTCCAGCAATTCAATTTCAAGTCTGGCCTTTTAGGTTCAGCCTTTTCTCCTCCATTTGAAGCTTTATAAGATCCATCTCCATGTCACTTTTTCTTATTTGCTTTTGAAGGTGGACCTTATACAGCAATTTGGCAGGCAACTAGAAAGACAATTATTAAACAGAAACATGACTGAATAATTAATGACTAAATAACATAATTAATAATTAAACATGACTGGAAAAAGTCTGTAATACAAACACAGACCAATGATTTAAATGAGGAAGGAGAACTGCAGAACATTTCTTACACTGCTAAGATTCTGTGTGGAGGTAGATGGACCCTCAGCTGTATTAAAATTTTCTGTAAAATGACAAATGACAATTTATTTATTCTCTTATGTAAAAAAGGGACATTGTATTCATCATACCTCTATGGGCCTCCCCACATTTTGTGTTACATCCTACAGTGAAAATAAGGAAGGATGCTTGGTCTAGCTAGCAAACAGAAACCTACAGACAATAATCTCTTACAATTGTGACAGAGTGTGGTGTTTGCGGAGGATCCAATACAATGTGGCCATCAGCAAATGCGAGAAAATTAAACCAATAAGACAATCATGCATATTCAATACTCACTGTATGTTCTTAAAAAAGAAGGACATTAGGAACATCTAAGAGTACTAGTTATACGATTATAGTATACAGCATATGCAATCAAAGCAGCATGCAAACTGCACAAGTGAATCAATGACTACATTGTATTCAAAATGCCTTTTTAAAACGGCGACAGTGTTGATGATTGTCTTTATTAAAATACTGACAAAAACAGTGAAAACATCAATAAATCATAAGCATTAATATGGTTCACTTACATTTTACTAAGCCAGTCTGACGAACTGGCCCCTGGAATCGCAAAAAATGATGGGTTAAAAATAACCCAACTTGGTTTATTTTATAACCCAACCGCTGGATCAATATTGCACCAGCCCAACAGTAGTTAATTTGACCCAGCAAGATGGGTCGGTCATTTTTAACCCAACAGATGAGTTGTTCATTTCTACTCAAATGCTGGGTCAAATTAAATAAAATTCTGGGTTGATTTAACTACAAATTTGTTATATAGCGTACCCAAATGCTGGGTCAAATTAATTACAATTCTGGGTTGATTCAACTACATATTTGTTATATAGTGTACCCAAATGCTGGGTCAAATTAACCCATATGCCAGACTAATTCTAGCACATTACAGTACAATTGAAGAAAATAAAAGGCAATTGACTACTCATAACTATAAAACAGTTACACTACAAATCTAGAACAGAATACATGCTAGATGTATGCATAGATTATGCAATTAACACTTAAACAATACAAAAACAAAACAACAATGGAGTCTTTGAAAAATTATTTTATTACTTTAATATCAACAATATTAGTGGAACTGCAGTTAATATCACTGAAGTAGGAAAACATTCAATTATGAATGAACTGGCTGAACATTTAACAGGCCAACAGTCAACGGGAGCCATTAGCTCTACTTGCAAGCAAGTATTCTGGTATCTTCCCAAAGAAACTATTAAAGGGATAGTTCACTTTGAATTTAGTTTTTGGTATGTTTTTTCTTACCTCAAGGGCATCCAAGATGTAGGTGTCATTGTAGGATGTAGGTTTCCACAGTATTTTCAATTTTGATATCTTTCGGTCAAACCATTGTTGTCAATCAGTCATATAATGGAGGTTTAGGGGGTCCTCCCTCAGTTCATGTCAAAGAGCATGCACAGAGAAGTCCAAATTTAACATGATTGAATGACTTGTAAATGTAAGTATACGCAGTGAAGGCCTAAGGCACGAAACGAGCGGTTTGTGTGAGAAAACGAACAGTATTTATATAGTTTTTACCTCGTGTAACTCAGCCATTGGCAACTGATCTGACGGCAGGGGCGCTTCAGTCTGTGCATGCGCCAGAAGTGATCGCTTGCGTGTGTACGTCACTCATTGTTTACACAGAGATTTCGGGAGTTTAACCTTTCACTAAACATTTAGATATATCGAAATCTTCTTCCATTGCGATTTCCTGTATATATAAATATGTTTAGATCTTCACAGTGAAAGGTAAAACTTCCGAAACTCTGTGTAAACAATGAGTGACGTACAGACGCAAGTGATCACTTCCGGCGCATACACAGACTGAAACGCCTCTGCCGTCAGATCAGTTGTCAATGGCTGAGTTACACGAGGTAAAAAACTATAGAAATACTGTTCGTTTTCTCACACAAACCGCTCGTTTATTGTCTTAGGCCATCAATGTGTACTTACATTTACGAGTCATTAAATCATGTTTAATTTTGACTTCTCTGTGCATGCTCTTTGAGGTGAACCGAGGGAGGACCCCCTAAACCTCCAGTGTATGACTGATAGACAACAACGCCAACGGTTTAACCGAAAAAACAAAACAAAATTGAAAATACTGTGGAAACAAAGACACCTACATCTTGGATGCCCTTGGGGTAAGCTAAAACATATCGAAAATTTATTTCAAAGTAAACTATCCCTTTTAATATTTAGAAATAATAACTGTGTGTGCCTCTAATGTTGATCTTACAAGTCCTCTAATTTTTTGAAGAACTTCAGCCCAGGGCCAGCTCTTGGGATCAACTGTTGATGGTAGCCTCATCTAAAAGAAGAAAACTCTCCTCATCAGTCCCCTCCTCTAAAAGACAAAAAAATACAAAACACAAAGAAATCTGTTTTTACAACTGAGGTGTACAAAACTAAAATATATAGGTAATTAAATGGAAGATAAACATGCATATTCCATCATTTGTTATTACAAAATAGAATAAATCACTGAAAGTCTACAAAAGACATGTGCCCTATTCATCTATTGGAGTCACTTTGACACATTACATGGAAGCTATTGAAAAAAAAAGAGAAAATTATATTTCATAAGAATTAATGTCTGAAAAGGGCTTGAGTAATGCAGGCTTGATATGCTGTGGATGTGAAAACAAATATTTCTTACCTTGAAATCTTTCAACAAGGTCTGTCAGCTGCCACTCTGTTGTGTCAATGACAAAGCTGACCTGATCTGAAACAAACACAAAATGAGGTTAAAGAAATATACAATTACTATTGTATTAACTATTCAGATGTCACCATGCAAATGCAATGCAGACTAGCAGCAGAATGTAATCCAATGTGAAGATAACAGCCAAAATATAGAGAGACCCTCTCTCCCTATACAATTCAAATTACATGTATTTTACATTCAGACATTTTATGTTACTTATTATGTACAATGTTTTTACATACTTTAATAAGTCTAACACTGTGTTATACCTTCGCATTTCACATTAAAAGCTTTGAGGGCAAAAAAGCGCGCTCATTTATATCCAGTTAACTTAAAATAATGTAAGTTAGCCTGCTAGCCAGGCCGCCATTTTATATAAGAAATGTTTTCTTATCTATCGCGGGTCACCATATTACTTAAATAAATGCACATACATGCATTTAGTCTGGCATATCAGGTTATCTCACTGTTTATACATACTTTAATCAGTTGCTAAATGATTAAAAGTAAATGTTAAAATTTAACAAGTTAATGAGAAATGCAAAAAATAACCATACTGTTATTGTTGAATCCATTAGTGCAAGTTGGAATTAACATTAAAAAAGCTTAATAAGTGATAAAAATGTTGTTTATCGTTATATTTCGTAAAATAATGCAGTTAGGTAATGTTACACAATAAAACATTATTGTAAAGTGTTTTACACTGCTGTCAGCTGAATGGATAATTTAGCTAGACAACTAATCTAAGGCTACTTTTCTATTATAGCCCACAGAACATTTAGAAAACGGAAATACAAATATCAAAAAGCTAACATTTGACATTACATGCTATCGAGTTACATGTGAAAACAATGATGGAGCCAAACTGCTAGCTCAAATAATTATTCATCACACTTAACTAATTAACGTATAAAAATAAAAATAATTTAGTGACACAAATGTTTACTTACCAGAGATAAAATGTGTGCTGCATATCCTAGAGTTGCTTGTTGGAATCCAGCCTTCTCTCTTCACTGCTGTAATCCAGGCGTCACGCTGATTTTTGTTTTTAGGAAATCTATAAGCTTTAATTTCCGAAAGTAAGTTAGTTCCAGGCCTGAGTGAACAGCCAACAACCGAGCAGCACGCTCCTAATTTAAATTTGGACATGTTTTATCGAATTAGTAAGAAAATAATCGATCAATTGCCATAAAAAAACGCTTCCCGTCTGTTGTTTTGAATGTGCGCGTTAACTAACCGGAAACGTCTGAGGGCCAAACACGTCACTTCCTTCCATCCGCAAATAGCGATTGAAATGGTCTATAGTATAGTTGTGATTTTGCTGTAAACACATGTTTTATTATGTATAGCTAACAGGGGAGCTCCAGTAACCGTAAAGTTACGTTTCCAACGTGTATTTACATAACCATACATCTTAAATACGCTTATTTAAAATGTCTATTTACATCAGGAAGGAAAATATTGTATAAGTATTGCAGGTGAGCACATCCCAACATGAAAAATACATGTGTGTGCTATTATGTAGGAAATTCTGTTGTCAACACTACATTAGACAAATTATGTGCTGTCAATAAAAACATCTATAAAGTAACTAAACATGATATATATTTAATTTGTCCCTTATTGGTGTTGATATATTGAGGAACATTTAAGTTGGATTAAAAGTGAGTTAACACATCAACCTCAGCATGTAAATGCAGTGTTGAGCTCGTAATGTGAATCTTGTCTGTATGTTACAGGGACAGAAGAACACGCGTGTGTTTATCCGGTGGAGAGAGGCTCATGATGCTGAATGCTGTCATCAATGAATAGGAACCGCTGTGTTGAGTCGGCAGTAGGGTTTGGGGTTCAGTGCCTGTAAATACATGCTTGTAGTTTGAATAAAGCTGTTTCATGTGTTGACTTGTATATGCATTTGTTTATTGTGATGGTTACTTTTATTTGTTCTTTTACTCATTTATTCATGTTTCTTATTGTTGTCAGTATATAAAATGTAATTAATTTATGCATTAATTCATCGATTGACTGACAATTGAGATGTTTCACTGCATTTAGCAATATAAATGAATTCATGCATTACTGTCATATTACAAAACAAATTACATTTTGCTTGTTTTATTAAATTATATTTTTAGTATATAAAAAGTTATACAAGTATTGGTCAGCATTTAATATTATTATTTTGTTTAAGTTTTGGGGTGGGCTAACAATGAAATTCATTCTGAGGTAATATTATTTTTTTAAGCAGTGATACTTACATTTTTTGAGTATAAAATCAACAGTTTTCTCCAAAAGAGATCTTCAAGCAGCTGCCCGTCTCCTTTGTGCACACATTACAAACGCTGTTCTAGGTTGTGCTGTGAAGTTACTGATGTTATGAAGTCTTAGAGCACCTGTCGCTCATATAATTTAAACTTATTATATGCAAGATCATGGAAAGATACTATAGTTTATGTAACAATCATAGTGACAAAACAGAAAATATAAAGATCATTGGTTTGTGTACATCATAATATGACATAAAATTATATTTATAATAAGAACAATAAAAAAGGCTAAATATCTTCATTATAGTTCTTTATAATACATAAAAAAGTTGTTGTTATATCTGAGGGATGAAACGAGGTAAATTCATGAAGAAAAAGAGGAGAAACTTTTTGGGTATAAAATAAAGAAATTAACAACATAATCAAGAGATGATGATTTTGGGGTTTCTTAATAAAAAAAAATATCGTTAGAATAACACTGTTGTTCACATTAGTAGGGTTTAAAATATAACAACTTAAATCAACCCTAAATGTATTCACAAAATAAATAGGCAGCTGTTTCTTCAACAATACCACAACAAAATGAGCAAGTTTCATCAATATCAAGATATTTATAGGTAGATTAATTAAACGTATCGTTCATATTTTTTTTTTATTGCATGAAGGTGTTGCGCTTCTGATAACGCGTAGAAGGTCACATGATAACGTCAACATGGCAGATGTCCGGTTCGCATTCATACTCAACGAGATTTGGCTATAAAGTACCTACTCTTTTAGCGCTCGATGAGTAAGTACTTATTGAAATGAAGTACCTACTCACTGAGTATGCGGTTTGGAACGCAGCCATAGACTTTTCCAAGCCTGTCAGACAAAGAGCAATTCAGAGTAGGGAGCCTATCTTACCCAGAGTAGTCACACCGGTCTCACCAAGCATGCTTTTTAAGTCATTAAAGGTAAGGAATTTTCAGAAACCTCATGACAATATGCAAAACACATGTTCCTACATGGTTTGCATGGATATAGTCACATAAATGAATACATATATGGAAATATGCACCATTTATACATGTATCTAACTATATCTGTGAAATAACTAAAAACTGCAAGAACACATTTCATGATTTTCCATACACATACTGTGTATGTGTGTGCATTTGTATGGATTGAATCGTCAAATAGGAACTTTTTAAGGACAAAGCAGGTCATAGAAAAGTAGTTATGATTTTGATTAGTTACTAGATTGTTAATATTGTGTGTTACTCATTTGTTCCAGTGTAGGTATTTATTAACGAAGGAACCATATTCTAAAGTGTTATCAAATAATGTAAACCAAATGCAATACAGATATTTAACTACACTTTCATCAACATGTACACTCACATTTTTTTTAATTATCTGTATTGAGAGATGTGTTACACAAATAAATTTGACTATGATTTAATGTGATTCTGCTTTCAGAATGAGATCCCAGACTGTGCACTGTTTACCACTATAACTGTAGGTAGTGATACAGACACTGCATCTGAGGGAGAGCAGGAGAACACAGACAGAGTTGATGTTCTTACTACAGCTGAGGCAGATTCTAGTGAGAAATCACACGTAGCAGTTCTGAGTGACAGCACTGTAGATGCAACAAACTTGCCAAAGCCCCTTACACATCTTTTTGATGAGAAGCACAGTTTATTGTCACATGATGAACTACAAAATGAGCTAGATAAAATCATGCAAACCATCCCTACTTACTTTAATGAACTGAATTGTAAGCACCTCCAAGAAAGCACACTAGGTCAGTCCTCTTGTGAACAGTGGTTTGAGCAGAGACAGGGCAGAATCACAGCTAGCCACTTTAATGAAGTGTTAAGAAGCAAGACAAGTCAAGCTAGCGTGACATCAAAAATTATGGGCTACACATCCAGCAGAAATGTACCAGCCTTAGCTTGGGGAAAGAATAATGAAAAACTAGCAAGAGAAGCATTTACTTCAAACCAGATGACTTGTCATGACAGCTTGATAGTGGAAGAAGTTGGGTTAGTAGTAAATCCAAAATTTCCTCATTTAGGAGCCAGCCCAGATGGAATAGTCCATTGCAAGTGCTGCCCACGCGCAACACTTGAAATAAAATGCCCCTTAAAGTATGCAAATATGTCCATAACTGATGCTATCAAGAGCAAAGATTTCTGTCTGGGAAAAAACTTTGAGCTTAAACAGAACCATGCATACTATGCACAAGTTCAGGGGCAAATGGCAGTGTGTGAACTGAAAACATCTTTCTTTGTCATTTGGACAACAGAGGACTGCCACATTCAGAAAGTAGACTTCTCTGAAGAGTACTGGGCTGAGATTAGAACAAAACTGGACCTCTTCTACAGACAGCACATTCTCACAGAAATTTGCACACACAAACTGATGAAACAATTTCTGATCGCAGAGACTTCCTGTTTGTGTAAAAGCAGGTCTAAAACATGTGTCACACAGTGCTCTGTCTGTCACAAGGTGTTTCACCTGAAATGTGTAGGCTTAAAAAGGCACCCTGGTGAGCAATGGTTTTGTTCAGTTTGTTCACCATAATCCAAAAAAATGTGAATTCATACACAACCTTCCCAGTAATTTGTTAAAATTGTTATTTTAATAATTGTAATACGTTCAATCAATTGCAGGACAACAAATATTCTCATTAACAAACAAATGTTTAATAATTGTTGATTATGATCATTTAATTTAATAATTGTAAATGTAATAATTGTAAAAATGATAATTTAAGACCAAACATTTATCCAATAGAAATCTATATACAATAGATATACAGAATGATGTACACAATCATTCAATAACAAAATAAAAGGTTTTTAACCACCTGTCAGTGTCTCGTGGTTTTTTTTACTGAATTAATGACTTGTCCAAATTCGATAATGCAGAACAAACCAGAAGAATTTTATCCACAGTTGCCACAGTGTCTACTGATCTTCGCTTCACCAAGTTTACAGGGAGTGTTTGTTTCAGAATGCAGTACTTTTTAATTCGACCAATAGCTCTTTCCACGTGAATCCTCAACCTTGACATTTGGCGTGACACAGACACTTCTTGTCCTGAAAGCTGCGTCTTTCCACGGGTTGAAGCTGGTATGAGTAGCTGGACTCCTTTTGCAGCAAAATACTCAGGGAAACTGAACCCTCTGTCAGCCATGACAATGTCTCCCTCTTCCAAAAGATCAATTAAACCAGATGATTTTGTGATTGTTTTGTCACTGGCTCTACCACCCCAAGACTTGGAAAGGAATGTGATTGACCCCGTTGGACTGATGCCAACCAGGAATTTGATGGTGTTGTGGGACTTATAGTTGGAGTATGTCATTGTTCTTGCACTGAGTGATGTTGGTCGGTCAATAAAAATCTCGCTGCAGTCTATGATACACCTCACTGAATTGAATGGGGGGGGTTTTGAACAAGTCAGGAAGATTTTTTTTAATCTCTTCCCTAGAAGGCCAACGAATTAGAGAGCTGAAACGCTGTGTCATCACGTTTAACCAGTCGTGAAATATTGCAGAGATTGTAGCACAACTGCAATGAAACCTGAAGGCAAGATCTTTATGAGTGAGGCCAAGTCTCAGTTTCATTAAGACCAAGTAAAACTGGAGAGGTGTTGGAGGACTATGTGTTCTCGGACTCCAAGCAGTGGTGAGATATGTCAAAAGGGCAAAAAACACTTTGCATGAGCGAAGGCCAGTGTAGAAGTGAATGATTCCATCATCGTTTAAATCCACATCAGATTTCCGTCTTTTCCGCTCACTGGTGAGAGTTTGTACCTTTTTATGTAGGCTTCTCACTTGCTCTTTGTAAGATGTGTTCTGTTTCTGCATATCTTCAATATCACTCATTGTGAGATCTGTTCCAACACACATATCATTGAAGGACTTAACTTGAGTTACATCTATGTCCATGTCCTGCACTTCCTCAGTAGGCTGAACTCCAATGCTCATCTCAGAAACCTGTGACGCCCGTCTCAGAGACCTCTGATACCGGTCCATATTTCTGAAGGTATCAGGTCTGCAGACATGGGGACTTGTGACTTGGTGACTTGGACTCGAGTCGACTCGAGTCGCTATTTTTATGACTTGTGACTTGACTTGACAAAAAATAAAATACTTGAGACTTGACTCGGACTTGGAAGTTAAAGACTCGGGACTTGACTTGACTTGAGACACGATGACTTGAATGACTTGAGTGTTAATCACATCATGTTTTCAGTTTAAATATAAAATATATAAATTATGTAAAAAAAATAAAGTTGATCCAGCTGGAGTGCAGGCTGAGAATAGCGCTGTCATGACTGGATCACGAGATCATCAGTCATGCCCTCTCATACCTTACGCACACCACGCCCACTTACATCAGATCACATCAACATGTCAGCCGGAGGGATACCGAGGGTCGTTGCTTTCGATTTAAAGAATTTCTCAAAACAAGATGGCAAAAAATAGCGCTTTGCAAGACATGCAACGTTAAGATCGCAGACAGCCAGACGACAACCTCCAATTTCGTCCGTCATTTGAAGAGCCATATTCTGCCCAGTAAGTGCTTGTCAATTTGTTAATGTTATCTGGTTAGCTCGTTCGTAGTTAGCTAGCTAATGTAAGTTAAAGGA